AGGACCCCCCCGTTGCGCCCCCCCCCCCGTTCAGCTTTCATATTGTCGGGTTCTGGAGCTCTTCTCCGTTGGTTTGAAACCCGTATAAAGCTTAAAGCTTTTAGCCACAGGTCAAGCTGCACTACCTTCCTGCGTACCCCATTGTGCCGTTTTAGTAGATAATTTTGGAATATCTATTCATTAAAAGCAATAACCAAGTTCCCAGAATCCTCTTCCTACGTACCTTAAGGCCAGGCGTTGTTAATCGATAAATCGATAACAATCAATAGTAATCGACATCAATCATCGATGAATATCGATTTTCGCCTATTGAGGCACTGACCGGAACTTTAACATTTCAGCATATGTAGTATCACTCATCGTCTTAGGGATTGCATTGGTCATTTCTCTTGGAGTGCATCTTTACCAATGGCGTGCTCGGAGAATTTCCAAAACAGACAAAAAGTACTCTACCGAGGGACTGCAAGTGGAAGCTCACCAAATTGGACAGGGTTTGTAGCGTTTTTGTGAATAATGAGTGGCATTTTTAGTTTGTTTACACTTATGGTATCGGGCATGGGTACTGGGTACTAAGTACTATTAATAACCAGACCCCAAGTGAATATCTCAAATAGTAAAATGAGAATAATTATAAAATAGATTTACTCACCTCATAAACCTCGTTATAGCCACGTTCATGCAAAAGCTAAGGACTTCTGCATCTACAGAGACGTCGCTGCTAAGGAAAACGTCTTTACCAAAAAGGAAGGAAAAAAAAAAGAATTACCCTTGTTCTGACTAACTAGTGCCGGCAAAAAATCCACAGGCATAAAATGAATACGTTAATAACTAAATTACTAAAAAACAATAATAATTTTTTTTGTTATGTCTTATGCCTGTGGGTTTGATTTTTAATGACGATACAACTCCCCCATCCCCTAAAAATATAACACAAAAACAAAACAAACAAACAAACAAAAAAACAGACTTACATCGTTAAGATATCCAATCTTCCTTTTTTACTGCTCAATTCTGATTAGATTCCATGCAACCATTTTCAATCTTAGGCGATGCAGAAGTCCCGTCTCCTAAAGTAGAATCATTTTATATGGAGCTGCAGCCTACTCAAATCCAGCAAACGACAAGAGATTCAGAATATGGATCTCTAATGAAGAACCCGGAAGGAGATAGTGATGATGCTAAAACGAAACAAGGTTATGCTAATGCCGCCTTCCATCGGCTCCCTAAACCGCGGGAAAACGAAGCATATCAAAATATATAAAGGGATGGAAATGAAATACGTGAAAATTACAAATACCTTGACAGCTTTGTGCGCGAGAAAGATGCAGCAGAAACATGGTTTGTTGGAATTCTCCTCGAAGCATATACAGCACTAGTTATTCACTGAGAAACAGTGATTTTGATATTCCTACTTTTAACACTATAATAAACTAAGGAAAACATTCTCTTAGATATCAAGGACCTCATATATGGTCGAAACTCGATAA